GCCCGTACGCGGGTACCACGCGGGTTTTGGCGCCAATTTTGGGGATGGGGGCTCGTACGTGCATTTTGATTATAACCCCCAAGTTTCAGCCCCGTAGCTTTTGCTGGTCTCGAGATGAAAAATCGGTACAGACGAACACACAGACACACAGACACACAGGCGCACAGACACACAGACACACAGACACACACACACACAGACAACCTCTCGTCAATATGCGTTTTTTGCATTGCATAACTGCAAAAAACGCGTAAAAACCAGTACTAGTGACAAAATATAGGCAAAAAGTCAAACTCCCCTCCCTATTCAGCTTGCTTCAAACACACACACAGACAACCTCTCGTCAATATGCGTTTTTCGCATTGCATCTAAAAAACGCATACGCACACACAGACACATACACACACAGACAACCTCTCGTCAATATGCGTTTTTCGCATTGCATTGCTGCAAAAAACGCATAAAAACACACAGACAACCTCTCGTCAATATGCGTTTTTTGCATTGCATTGCTGCAAAAAACGCATAAAAACGTGAAAAGGATCAACTTATGTGGAAACTTAGTCTCAGCTACCAGAAAATTTCGAGTGTAATTTTGCCACAAAATTTGATAAAAACGAGTTTTTCACATCAAATACTTACCATAATACTGCTGTAATCATCCAAGCATTCCTTTTCGAGTTTTGCACAAAGTTCCCGAGCACCAATTCCTGCGGTACATGCAAATGCACCAACGTAATCTGTAGGCGCGGGTTTGGTGCTTCCCGCCGGTACTATGAAGTCCGAGAGACAGTAGCATGGCTGATCCGCTTCTTTATCGCACTGCTGTCGCAGCCCGAATAATCTGAATATTTCGATTTTGTGCGATTTCATGGAGATTTTTGAAAATGCGCAGAAGAAAGCAACATTATTCCACTCGGCATTTGCGATCATAATTCAGCCCGCATTGCTTTCTTGCTCTTACCATCGATTTCTTTGGGCCTGTTACGTTGTCTTGCCAATGATGACCACTAGTAATTACACTGTATTTGAAAAGTAAGTTATTTTTGCTTTAATAAATAATTTATTAGGTTCTGTTCATCTGAGTATGCTAGCAGGTTTAGCATGATACCACGTTCAAGCATATAAATAAGTTGCTGTTTTTTTGGCGGGAAGCCAGTCTTCCCATAGCTCCTATTTTCGTTTCGATGGTAAATTGGTACAGCCCATAAATCGGGAGTCAAAAATCGCTGTCACCGCACTTGTTTGGCATATATTAGGAGTTAAATCCATTATAAGCTTTTTTATGAGCAACCTTTCAGTGAGAGAATAAGCTATCGACAACCTGAACAGACCGAGTGTTTTCGACATCCATAAGACGGGGAGAGGGGGAGGGGGAAGGAGGGGAGGGGGAGAGAACCTACAGCGATTGTACTTTCGACTTATACGTTTTGATTATCTGTATTTCAGAGTTAGCTTTTTCGACTATGCGAAACTTTTCCGGTTGTTTTTTCTTTGATGCTTCATTATGTGGTGCTATGCCTTATGCTAGCGATTTTGGCCTTCATTCAGCTGATTAGTAATTAGTTTATAAGGAGCGAGTTGATAAAATTCTTTGAATGCTTTTCAAAAATTTCCAGGCTTACGTTGCTTGATGAGATCCGTCAGTTGGGAAAAATATCAAAATATCGTCACCGATCGCACAGCACTGATAAAATGCTATTACAGCTGCACCACTTAGTTCCTTCTCATCAATCAGTCGCCGCAACCGTTCCTGAGCATCCTGAAAGCTTATCTTTCTTCCAGGTTAACCACTAAGACAGGTCCTGTTACTGATAAAGGCTTGTTACTTTTGGGACAAGTGCTTGGCTTATCACAAGAGTAAAATATGAAAAATATAGGGAGAGGATTCAGTACTGGGGAATTTGGGCTACTGCTGAATGTCTTTGTTATTTTGAGGGAAATCCATACGGGCAGATATAAGGAAATGTGCTGTACAGGTAAGTACTAACTTGAAGTATGAAGGGCCTAGTTTTCATGAGATTCCGAAAATTATTAGCACGGGATACCACACTGGCTGTCCGGGTAGTCTTGATATTCTTGGCAAGGAAAAATTAACATTATAGAGTCGAAGTGCTTCTTGGCCAACATCTGCGTCATTAAAAATCTTGGGAAATGCGCGATTTGGATATTTGCCACGCAATTGCCAGACATCAAAAAACGGTTTCCAGTCAATAAATGGTAAAAGTAAATTGAGATCAAAATCCGGAAAACTTCT